TATCGTCACATTATCTTGTGTGTCTAGCATATTTCTATCTACATTTCAAGAATTTTTTATAGGTGATGTGCATAACCTTGTTTAGCACCTTCCTCGACAATTCGGTTGGTCTTTTATGAATTGAGAACCTTGGTTTGGTACTTTGTCGACCTCACTTTCTTAGCCCTACATATTAAGTTATAAACATAATTGGACAAACTGTTTTTTTACATAATACATTGTGTTGAACTCACAAGTATTAATTACCTTTTACGGTATAAATTCTTTCATATTGAATAATGTTATGGATGTCGTGAAAGGTTTTCTTCAGTTATTGTTTGAAGAGAAGAAAGCTAGTGTTGGATCAAGCATGAGTAATGATAATATGGGTTACTGGAAGAAATTTTGTGAAATGGGAAAATCAGCCCTCGATGAACAACACACATTCCTCCAACACTTCGATGAAGAAAGAAGTGAAGTCCCGGGGCACAGCTCAATTGGCAGAACAATCAGCACATAACTCGCTTCCAGTGACATGGTGGGGGTTCGAATCCTGGTGGGAACCTGCGGTCAGATTTATTTGGTATGGAACAATTACTTTGGAGGATGATCCCTTGTGCGCAGAAGTGCACAGTTGGTGTGGGGAACCCGGGAACCAGTTGAGGCATATCACGCGATTTACCTCCTCCAAGGTTTTAGAGGCAGGGGTCTTGGAGGTCCAGAATTTAGTTTGGCAAAGTTGGGACACTTGGGTATCAAAAAAATAAGAAAAGTGAAGTCAATGTTAGAGTAAACTTCAACTTCTACCCACCAAGCCCAAGGCTCGACCTAACACTGGGCACAATCCCATATACTGATGCAAGTGCCCAAACTCTCTTACTCCAATTTGATTACTCTAATGGGCTCCAAATTTTTAAGGGCAATGAATGGATATCAGTGGCATGGCCCAATGAGGGATTGCTTATTGGAGATTTGATGGAAATAATGAGTAATGGTAGGGTAAGGAGCCCTTGGCACAGGGTAGTGACCCAAATGGATTTGGAAAGATTTTTTGTGGCTTCGTTTTATAACCCACCATTGAAAAGGGACACTGAGCCTGTGGAATGTGGGGCATTGGGAATGAGGGGATGTGAACAAATAGCACGTCCCTCCATTAAAATGGGCCGATATGCATATATACCTAACAATGTAAAGTAGGTGCTCTGTTCAGTAACATAAGATGTTCCAAAATTTACTTCTTTGAGTATTTTCAATACATCTTTTATTTTTCTGAATTTTACTCTTAGCAACTTCTATGATCAAGCAAATTGTCTAATTAGACCACGAATCATAAATGTCTGAAAAAGCTTTATTTCTATTTCGCGCGACAATCCACATCGATATAATAAAAGTAAAGGACCCAATGTCTGACTACAATGAAATAACTTTACTAACTTGAAGAGCAACCTGAATATGACCTCCTACGATTTAAAGCAAGATAGTAAATGTGGTGGACTACTTGAAGCACTTTTATAAAGTTAGTCCTATTTCAAGTAAAGAAGACATATTGTTTGCTAAAAGTAGATAGAAAGTGTTTATATCATTTTTGCAGGGTGGGTGAGTTAGGGTTTTAAAAGTTATTTTTTTAATTGACTTGCTATTAGCCATGTTAACGAGCGGAGTCACGAGCCGAAACTCGAAGTTCTGGCTTGGGTCAAGCAAAAAAAGTTCGAACTTTTTTTGGCTCAAACCTTTTGCTCGACCAAAAAATTAAGGCTTGACCCGAGCTTTCGGCTCCAGCCTTAGCGGGCTTGAGCCGAGCCAACTCTTTTTTTTTTTTATGTCAAATCTAAATTTTTTTCTTAAAGAATTTAAAATTTGTTCAATTTATACGTACTATAAATAAAAGTTAAAACCCTCATCCTGCAACGTACATGTTGGTTTGAATTTTTATTTTATTTTTTTCTTCCTACATACTACAGCTGTTTTTTTCAATTTTTTTTAAACGGGGTCAGCTCGTTTAGGCCGAAAACGGCCCGTGACATGGGTCGGCTCGGGCCCGAGCCTTGGCTCAGTGGTTCCGAGCCTCTAGTTGGCTCAACTCAGGCTTTTCAGAGTCGAGTCACAGGCGGCCCATGCCGACGAGTCATTTTACTATCCCTACTTGCTACTTAGAGTTGCATCCAACGATTTGAATTAAATTTTGATCAACAATAGTATACGAGTTGATGAGAGCTTGACGAATTACGGTCTACTAGTATAATGTGGATATAGGATTTGTTTGTTCTTGCATTGTTTGAATTCTACATCCTTGTTAAGTTCAACTTTATAGTTACTCGTCAATAGATCTCATGTTGAAATGTTGAATACATGATCAAGAAGTTAATTTCATAAATGGTAAATGAAGTTTGTGTAAAATTTCAAGTTGATCCTTAAAGTATTTTTCTAACTCATTTCGTCAATAAAGTTAATTAGCATTATATCATTGGTCCTCGAAGTATTTTTAGACTCACATAGTCACTAAGGTTAATTCAATGTTCTAGAATGGATAAGATGTGACAAGAGAACAATGACAAGGATGCGTAAAAGGCGTTCTCTTATTTTCGTTATTCTACGACCATTAAATAATAAATAGATCAATGCATACAAAATAATTAAAATCATAAATACTATTATTACTTGAAAATTCCTACAATTAGAAAATTTTCAAGTCTCCTTAAACTAGACTAGTGAAAATGGAATCACAAGATCCTTTTTAAGGTAAATAAGCCCAATAAATTGTCCACACTAATTTATTGCCTAAGCCCCCTTGGTCATTATGTCCAAAATGGCTCAAAAAAAATTTAAAAACTAAAAAATGTATGCGCTTATGCTCGCATTAGTTGTTCAAAAGAAGATTTTGCCTCATTTTTTTTCACGTCTCGCACATATACAGAGTGTTTTGAAAATGCCTCGCAACAAGGCGCACTTAGGTGACGCCTTTTCATCCTTTTAGAATACTTGAGTTAATTAACATCATACTATTAGTTACTATGTCAAAAAAAAATAAAGTTCAGAATGAGTTGATATTAGTTAAATGTTGAAGCGTACAAACATCTAAGACACGGATCGATAAAAGAAGCACGTGCTATATCTCAAATAAAAACCATCCATTAAGGAAAAGTTAAGAAATTGTAGTAAATGTTAGTGAATTTCAATAAACATCATATTTTTTACAATTAACAAAAGTGCTCGTCTAGTTCTGGTTATTATGGGAAGTTCTAAAAGATAACCTTACTAATTAAAACAAAAACAAATGCATCGAATGGAAATACAATCCTCGGACGGGTCAAGTGCAAAAGTGACATGTTTCAGCAGGAAATTCGCTTTCTAGAATGAGAAAATATCCAAAAGTTACAATTTTGTGACTCTGGCTTTTTGTCCAAACACAAAAAGATTAAAACTTTTATAAAATATTTTGTGGGTTCATATAAAAAAATTTCTATATTATTATTGAATAATAATTTAATGGGTAGATAAAGCAAAAAAAATTTGAAAAGCAATGGGATGATTAAATTAGTCATTACATAAAGATTTTGGTATGCAATTGAGACTTATGATAACAATAGTAATTTGGATATATGTTGATAATATGATGAGAAAGTTTATTTCCTCTAAATTTTCTTTTGTCTCGACAATTTCCTCCATTGCAGAAAATGAGAATCTTTGCATTGGAATTCCAAGAGCCAACGGCGATGGTGGCTTTGATGGACATGAGACGACTTCACTGTTAAAAGAACATTTTCTTTGCAAATCATAACCTTAAGTCTTGGCGTGGATGTATAAATATATAAAATGATGATCGTCCCACCTTGAAATGTATAGACTTAAAAGGATTTACCATATTTTATTTTTGTCTATTTAAGTAAATTTACTTGAGGTTAAAAATGTAATATAATTTTTTTTTTTTTTTAAAAAAGTGGATGAATATAAAAAAATTGCAGATTTTTTGTCAAGTTAAATGTTTCATTAGCCATTGAACTTTGCACCATGTCACGGATTACTCACCGAAGTTCCAAACTTGTCCCGTTGGCCACTGAACTTCATTCCGTCTAACTCCATCACTCACCGGCTAAAAATCGTTAACAAACGCGCCTATGTGGACGACGGAAAGTTGAGCTGGCAGATAAATTCGTCCAAATAATTTCTGAAGAGCCAACTCACCGCCAAATAAGCAAATGGGCATCCAAACACGGTACAACGAATTTGAGAAACCCGATTCTAAATTCATATATGCTCTGAAGCTCCGTTTCTTCCCTGTGGCAATACAACCTTATGGATCTCTCTGCTTCGGGCGACTAAGAAAAATCAATCATGTGTAAGGTTCATGGATCATTGGCTCGTGCCGGAAAGGTCAGAGGGTAGACTCCAAAGGTGGCGAAGCAGGATAAGAAGAAGAAGCCCCGTGGCCGTGCCCACAAGCGGATGCAATACAACCGCCGCTTCGCCACTGCCGTTGTTGGCTCTGGGAAGAAGAAGTCACTCAATTCATCTTCAAAGTAAATCAGAGGCGTGAATCCATTTCCCCCAATTCACCCTCCGCTCCGTTTCTATTTTTTTTGTTTGTTAAAAAAAAATCATATATGCCAAACCCAACCCGTAAGGCGTGAATCCATTTCCCCTAAATCATACAAAAAATGGCAATTTTTGGCCTTGGGGTTGCACCATTAGTTGTTGCTGTTGCTGGGATTGCACCTTTTTTTTTCTGCTCAAGAGAAGGGAGGTGATGGCGAGACTGGAGAGAAGGTTGGCAAACCCTGTTAAAACACCATCAAGCTTACTTTGTGGAGGACCAGAAGGAAGAAGCTCACAGGCTGGAGCATAAGGGATTAAATCCATTTTTAATTGAGCAAAATGGGACCACTTTTCTGTTAGAAATCCTCATTTCCACCGCCTCTGTTATGCATTGTTCTATAAGCTTCCCATTACTAGTCTGATAGTTTATAAACCCTAAAAATGTTGCGAATTTGTTGGTTCAATTGTCATGTTCATCTGAGTCGTTGATGGCTGCATGGAGGGTTCTAGGGGAGACAATGAAGGAGTTGAATTTTTCGCCATTTTTGTATGAATTTGAGAGCTACAATTCCCCTCGAAGAGATTTTGCTTATTTGGCAGTGAGTTGGCTCTCCAGAAATTATTTGGACGAATTTAACTGCCACCTCAACTTTCCGTCATCCACATAGGCGCGTTTGTTAACGATTTTTAGCCGGTGAGTGATGGAGTTGGACGGAGTGAAGTTCAGTGGCCAACGGGACAAATTTGGAAGTTCGGTGAGTAACCCGTGACAAAGTGTAAAGTTCAGTGACTAATGAAACATTTAATTCTTTTTTGTCTCCATCAATCCACGTGGAATATAAAGACTGCACGCGTGAAACCGTTTTTCATATAGTCGGCTTGCTCATCTAAAGAAATTAGGGATTTGAAGAAAGGGTTCTGAAAATCGAAGGAATAATTGTCAATCTGCCCGCATCCGGTAATTCTACATCTATCTCTTCATTCAATCTGTGTTTCCAATTGACTGCTGGCGTGAAGTATAAGAAATTTCTTATTGCTATGATGGGATAAGGACCATAAGGTTAGGGTTTCAATTTTCTGCGGCATAAATTACACCTCCTTCGTAAATGGTAAACCTCACGAAATCAATTTGAATTCTTGATAATTTAAATTAAAGCAAGAGAACTTGACGGGAATTTCAGATTGGATAATTTAGATAAGCGAAATGAAATTTAAAATTTTTATTTTGTTACTAGGTTTGAATGGATCTATCATTAATTTGATCAATTTATTTTGGTGGATTGAGTCCGATTAGTGTAGATCCCTTTACTGTTTAAAATTTTATGTGTCTGAATTTGAAAATCTTCTTCTGCTATGGCAAGTTTCTGGTGCAGGTGATTACTGCTTAGGAGGTAGAATTTATCTGTGCTGTGTTGATTAATGGGTGCACCTAAGCAAAAATGGACTGCAGAGGAAGAAGCGGCTCTTAGAGCTGGAGTCCTTAAGCATGGCCCTGGAAAATGGCGTACAATTCTTAAAGACCCAGAATTCAGTGGCGTTTTGTGTTCAAGATCCAACCTTGATCTCAAGGTATAGATTGTATCTCAATTATATTGTTCCTTTGAAAATGTTAATAGCTGTTGGATTATATGTTAGCTGTCATAATGTTTTGGCAGGATAAGTGGAGAAACATTCGTGTAATGGCGAATGGACGGGCATCTCGTGATATTAGTTAAATGTTGAAGCGTACAAACATCTAAGACACGGATCGATAAAGGAAGCACGTGCTATATCTCAAATAAAAACCATCCATTAAGGAAAAGTTAAGAAATTATAGTAAATGTTTGTGAATTTCAATAAACATCATATCGTTGTTTTGAGAAAAATCTATAGCGAGTATTTTATAGTTTACACGATCTGTATAATTATATGGAATAAAGTTTAATTGGTATGTGTTGAACTTTCTTTGCATTTTGAGGTAGGGTGCGGATTTGAAAAGTGAGGCAACTTTTCTCATTTTGATTAACACGTTGGACTGAAAATATTATAGGGACTAAATAAGTATTTAAAAAATTTACTATTTAAAAACTCAGACCATACAAAAAAAATGTCCGTCAAACAGAGGTTAAATTATTTTGTTTTAATGGGAATCAAACGAGGTTTAGTTGAGGTAAAAATCTATTTTTTTTTTTTATACCATTATTTACATTCCCAATTTTTATATATCTATCTCACTCGAAGTTCATCCCTATTAAAATTTTAAATTTTATAAAAAATATTATATTCATCCACGTTTATTCCAATATTAACCTTATGAAATTCAATCTTTTAAAAGAGTACAATCACACCAAATTCCAATACAAATATCCCCATTTTCCGCCTTTCTGCCCTCAAAATTTCCCCTAACTCAATAACTTACAAGTTATCAAGAAGTTGCCGTATGTTGAAAAAAGAATGGGCAAACAATCAATATACTGAACTACACATGATAAACTAGAGATCTTGAAGAAGACAAAAAAGAAGAAGAAATACAGTCAATTAAAACAAGCTCGTGAGCTGTCGTCGTTTTTTTACTAAACAATTATTTTATAAAACTCACAATTTTTTACAATTAACAAAAGTGCTTGTCTAGTTCTGGTTATTATGGGAAGTTCTAAAAGATAACCTTAATAATTAAAACAAAAAAAGTGCTAGTCTAGTTCTGGTTATTATGGGAAGCTCTATAAGATAACCTTAATAATTAAAACAAGAATAATGCTAAGTGTACACAATTTTTTACATCTCTCACATGGATGGGGGCCCACACATAATAAAATAATCGTGGACCCCCCTCCATGTGAGAAAGGTGTAAAAGTGTGTGTGTACATGTAGCATTACCCTTAAAACAAAAACAAATGCATCGAATGGAAATACAATCCTCGGACGAATCAAGTGCAAAAGTGACATGTTTCAGCAGGAAATTCGCTTTCTAGAATGAGAAAATATCCACAAGTTACAATTTTGTGACTCCGGCTTTTTGTCCAAACACATAAAAAGATTAAAACTTTTATAAAATATTTTGTGGGTTCATATAAAAAAATTGCTATATTTTTATTGAATAATAATTTAATGGGTAGATAAAGCAAAAAAAATTTGAAAAGCAATGGGATGATTAAATTAGTCATTACATAAGATTTTTGTATGCAATTGAGACTTATGATAACAATAGTAATTTGGATATATGTTGATAATATGATGAGAAAGTTTATTTCCTCAAAATTTTCTTTTGTCTCGACAATTTCCTCCATTGCAGAAAATGAGAATCTTTGCATTGGAATTCAAAGAGTCAACGGCGATGGTGGCTTTGATGGACATGAGATGACATCACTGTTAAAAGAATATTTTCTTTGCAAATCATAACCTAAAGTCTTGGCGTGGATGTATAAATATATAAAATGATGACCGTCCCACCTTGAAATGTATAGATTTAAAAGGATTTACTTGATTTTATTTTTGTCTATTTAAGTAAATTTACTTGAGGTTAAAAATGTAATATAATTTTTATTTTTTAAAAAAAAGTGGATGAATATAAAAAAATTGCAGATTTTTTTCTCCTTCAATCCACGTGGAATATAAAGACTGCACGCGTGAAACCGTTTTTCATATTGTCGGCTTACTCATCTAAAGAAATTAGGGATTTGAAGAAAGGGGCTTTTCAATTCTGAAAATCGAAGGAATAATTGTCAATCTGCCCGTATCCGGTAATTCTACATCTATCTCTTCATTCAATCTGTGTTTCCAATTGACTGCTGACGTGAATTATAAGAAATTTCTTATTGCTATGATGGGATAAGGACCATTTGGTTAGGGTTTCAATTTTCTGCGGCATAAATTACACCTCCTTCGTAAATGGTAAACCTCACGAAATCAATTTGAATTCTTGATAATTTAAATTAAAGCAAGAGAACTTGACGGGAATTTCAGATTGGATAATTTAGATAAGCGAAATGAAATTTAAAATTTTTATTTTGTTACTAGGTTTGAATGGATCTATCATTAATTTGATCAATTTATTTTGGTGGATTGAGTCCGATTAGTGAATTCTAGACAAGTGTAGATCCCTTTACTGTTTAAAATTTGATGTGTCTGAATTTGAAAATTTTCTTCTGCTATGGCAAGTTTCTGGTGCAGGTGATTACTGCTTAGGAGGTAGAATTTATTTGTGCTGTGTTGATTAATGGGTGCTCCTAAGCAAAAGTGGACTGCAGAGGAAGAAGCGGCTCTTAAAGCTGGAGTCCTTAAGCATGGCCCTGGAAAGTGGCATACTGCTTAGGAGGTAGAATTTATTTGTGCTGTGTTGATTAATGGGTGCGCCTAAGCAAAAGTGGACTGCAGAGGAAGAAGCGGCTCTTAAAGCTGGAGGCCTTAAGCATGGCCCTGGAAAGTGGCGTACAATTCTTAAAGACCCAGAATTCAGTGGCGTTTTGTGTTCAAGATCCAATGTTGATCTCAAGGTATAGATTGTATCTCAATTATATTGTTCCTTTGAAAATGTTAATAGCTGTTGGATTATATGTTAGCTGTCATAATGTTTTGGTAGGATAAGTGGAGAAACATGAGTGTGATGGCGAATGGATGGGGATCTCGTGAGAGGGCTAGATTAGCACTCAAGAGGATGCATCAGGCACCAAAACACGGTGAGAGTGTATCTCAAAGCGATGAGGAAATTGATGATTCTACATCACCAGTCAATGGCCCAAAAAGATCTATTATGAGGTTAGGCATACTATGCACAAGTTTGGCACTTTTTCTTTTTAAATATTTTTCATGCTAAGTAGCCAGCACTTCCAATTCAACAGTTAGAAAGATAAGACATGTACATGATGCATTTATTCTACGCATACACACCTCTAGCATCAATATCGGTATATTATCTCTAGGCATGTGCAGATGTGGTAATAGCATTTTTTGAAAATGGAAATCATATAACCTATCTGTCCATATTTGAAGTTTACATACTTTTTGTCACTGCTCTCCAATAATCAAGATCAGATTGTTTTTAATACTCCGGCAGTATCATAATATTCCTAAACCTGAATACATGGCAGTAAATAATATCTTCGATGGTATCTCATGTTCATTCTGTTTGAATTACGCATGATCAATGTTTATCTTCTTTGCTTCTGTTGTAGGTTGGACAATCTTATTATAGAAGCTTTAAACAACTTAAGGGAACCTGGTGGTTCTAACAAGACCACTATAGCTACCTACATAGAGGTAGTGATTCTCTACTTCTGCTTTTGTATTAAGGGAATAGGATGTTGAGAGTTTATGAAGTGTTAAACGCTTGTAGCTGCGCATCTTCTTTAAGTATTTTGGGTGCTATGCAGTATGTCCCAAGGATGTGGTGTGAAATTAATCTTTCGTGTGTAACTTTGCACTATGAATGACATTATATTCACTCACCCATAATGCGTTGGCTACATATTGGATCATTTTGAGAAGGGTGGTATTGTCCATTGGTAATCTAGCTATAATGCAAAGTCACAGACATGTTGACAAGTAATTTTTTAGAAATGCAGGACATGAACACGTCTAGCACATATTAAATTTGTTAAAAATTTGTAGATTATATATTCTATCTTATTGTTTATACTTTTTATCTTTTAATAAAGTTTAATTCTTTTCTCAGTTTTTATTTTTTCATGAAATTTTTAAATTAGTTGAGAATCTATTCGTTATATTAAAATAACTTTTAAGTCAAGTTAGATATTGCACTGTTGGGAAATGAATAATTTATATAATATATGACATGGAGTGTTCGAGAAATGTCAATGACAGACACACGGACATGCAACACAAATAGGACTATCGTGCATCATAGTAAAATAGTAATAGTCGATATGGACTCAAGTGTCCGACACAGACTCTCACACGGACATGTCGACACAATTTTTTAAAAAGTGGCAAACGTCCTTGACATTTTGATTAAAATAATATTATTTTTATTGTTTTTTCTAAATTATAAATTAATTTGATTTTTTTTTTTTAATTCTAATGTGTCGACAATGTATCTTCGAGCATGTCGGTAATGTATCTTTCAGAGTATTGGCAACATGTCCAATGACATAAAATATAAAAAAAATGCCGACACGTGTAGACAATGTGTCGGTGTATCTCCTACCATGCTTCACAACACATCGGCGATACATTCAGCGAAGTAAAATAATTTGGACATGTGACCTCGCGTTTTCGACATGTCAATTGCCTTGTAGGTGTCCGATGGAAATGGGTTGGCGATGTATCGAACCATTCCGAATAAAATAATTTGGACATGCCACTTGACGAATTTGATAGGTGTTAGCAATGTGTCAATGTCCAACAGTTGCCGGCCTTAGGAGGGTGTTGGTGCATCCTAGTTGGTAATGGCCCTTAGATCACAAAAATGCTATTATGAACTGCATTTTGCCGTTGAAACACAACACGTTTCAGGTGAGTAAAATGTTCATGTATGAGTCGAAACACGATCTATTGTTTTCCCGTTGCACTAAATTTGTCCTGAAAGTTTAAGTACTCGTATTTTTGAATTTGTGAGACCAATATCAATGTTTCTTGCTCGAAAAACTCGCATCTTTGCAAAAATTAGATGATAACGAAGTGATGAGCTTTATCGTATTAGATGGTAGTGTTGGTCAAGGAAGGCTTCAAAACTTGTTTTGGCGCCTTCAGAATTTAGAGTTCCACCTTTTGTACTTTAACTATTATCACTTTATTGTTAAGGTACTCCCATAACAATCTCAGACTATTACTCTAAGCTACTTTGTGTTGTAGCCCCAGTTTAGAGTGGCAATTACAATTGCTGGACTTTTATCTACTTTCGACAGTATTTTTTACTAAGAATAATTGTATGTAGCAAATAACATAGTGTAGTTAGATGAATGTTTTCAAAAGAATGTTACACTTGGTTATCTGAGCAAGGTTCCATATGGTGCTTTAAAATGTAAGTTGATGAAAGGATTTCTAAAAACCATAATATATGCTGTCTCGTTGAGAGTGTTGAACACCAAAGACTTGCATACAAAGGTCCTTTCATTAAATATTATATGGCGTAGAATATCACCAATCTGAAAACTCGACATTGTTTGTACCTAATAAATCAAGCTTTTCTTTGGCTATCTTCTAATCATACAGTTTTTCCTGAAGACTTGACACTGTTCGTAACTAATAAATTGAGCTCTTCATTGGCTATCTCCCAATCTTACAGCATTTTTTTTTTGTAGGACCAATACTGGGCACCTCCAAACTTTAAAAGGATATTATCTGCTAAACTGAAGCATTTGGCTGCAAACGGGAAACTTATTAAGGTGGTTTTTGCCTTTCATCAAATTTCCTAACTGAGTGATTATTGTGGGTTACTTTTCCCTGTTTTAAAGCTGCAGAGGATTGAAAATTATTTTCCCTGAATCCTTTATTTTAATTTCTCTGAGAATTTCAAGTACTTCTTTGACTTTGAGTCTGCTCATCTTCTGCAGATGAAACGGAAATATAGAATAGCTCCAACTGCTTCATTATCTGAGAGAAGAAGGAACCCTTCTATTTCTATAGCTGGCAGAAGGCAGGGGATTTCTCTGAGAACTGACTATGATGATGTCAGTGATCTCACAAAATCTCAGATCGATTTAGAGTTAGCCAAGATGAGGAGCATGACTCCAGAAGAAGCTGCTGCTGCTGCTGCTCAAGCAGTTGCTGAAGCAGAAGCTGCAATGGCTGAAGCTGAAGAGGCAGCGCGAGAGGCAGAGGCAGCAGAGGCTGATGCTGAAGCAGCACAGGCTTTTGCGGATGCAGCATCCAAGACACTAAAAGGAAGAAGCACTCCAAGTTTGGTAAGTAGATTACGAGAGTCTATTTATCTTAATAAAGACATCTGCTAATTTTCATGGAGCGAGTTTCTCGAGAAGCTAAATTCTAAAACTCGAGTTCTTTCTCCTCTGCAGTTGTAGTCCCCTAGTGCCTTTTTATAAATATATGATGATAATATTCTAATCTGGCTTTCCGAGAGTTTCATGTGATTACGCCTTGTTTCCTAGTAACATTTTTATCCTCGGAGTGCTGAAAAGTAAAAACTATGTTTAACTGATGTCGTATTTCTGTTTTATTTTCTCATGTAAATTGAGAATGATGCTGCAATGAAACAGCTTATCTCTATCATAATGCTGAACCTATCCAGCCAATCAACCTGGACCAAAAGGCTGTAATTATCTGTGTGCTGGTGCTTTGTTAATGCTACTCTCCGCTACTTCATGCAGTTACCAACACTGCCCTTGGCCACCATGACAAGAAAATTTTAATCTGTTACTTTGCCCCATATATTCAATATTAAGAGTACATCTCTACTAACAAATTAATTTTTTTTGCATCATTGTTATTTCTTTTCCTTTTGAAAGGTAGGACGCTGAAGTATATGTTTGATTTTCCACCATTTTATTTCACACATGTTGTTTGCAATGCTCCTCACTTCCTGAATCAAATGATTTTCTCTCTGCAGAATATGCAAATGATTCATGCGTGATGGAGTGGGGGACGACATCTATAACAAGTCACTTACAGCTTCGGTTTGATTCAAACTCATTGAATTACTCATAAAAGACGACCTATCTCTGTAAATATGGTAGTTTCGTGAGTAAATCCCAGTATCCAGACTTGGGAGACTGGAATATTTCCCTAGAAATCAAAAGTAGTAGGTAAAGGAAACTGTAACTAGATGTTTGTTCAGTGTTCATTTTCTTTGTTGGAACTAGATTACATAAACTCTGTCTTGAATTTAAAAATATTTGTAATTCTACTGCGCATTTGCATTTCTATATGTAGAAAAATAGTAATGTTATTGGATAGCATATTTTATTATAATGATATCTGTTTCTAGAGTTTGTAGTGTAGATATGAGTTTATACTACAAATCTATAGCTGTGTATAAGCTCCAAACAAAGGATCGTGCTACTCAAACAAAGAATTTTGACAAGAAATATTCATGGACAACACTTGGCATGCATTCATTCATTGGAAGATGGAAAAAATAACAGACGAATCACATCTTGACATCAGCTCTGTCAACTTTTCGTGTCAAAACTCCATGTTTGAGTAGCTTAAATCCCAAACAAAATAAACAAGTTTAGATTTGGTAAGTGATATATCATAAAAGAATTTTAATATTTAAATAATCATTTTTTTTTAATTCAAGATCAAACTATGTATGGTGTTAGATATTATTTACATAGCAAAGTGAACATAAATGGTTTGAATCATAAATATGTAGAAATGAGTTATGAGTAATACTTTTTAATTCTTTAAAATGTCTTGATAAAAAGTAGTTTTGAGTATTTACAAACATGAATCAAACATAAGCTTAATTTTATTTTTATTTAATCATACAGAAACATATAATTTCTGACAAGTAATTTCAAAGAAATTTACTTCGAGGAATTCATAGAAAAAATAAAATAAAATTAGGCCACGTTAAATATTTGTATCTAATTAAAATGGTTTAAAATAACTATGACGCTATTAATATAATATCATCTGTTGTTGGAAAAAATAATAATAATAATAGCAAGGGTGGTAATTATTGTTTTTTTTCCCCTTTTTTTATATTGGTGAAGTTTCTAAATAACAATGCAAAAGAAAAGTTTAATCTTCACACAAAATATTGTGTAATAAAAATCATTTACCAAATCAACCAATAAATATAATTCATTAAAAAGTAATTAGATTAGAATTAATTCTCAATCGATCAATTCTTAAATCAGAATCATTTAAAATTTAAGCTGCACTAAATTTGGGAATGGACGTCGAGTGGTTAGTCTAGGTCTTTTAATATCCGAAACCACCCATTATACTTTGGGTATTTCGTAAATGAAGGCATTCATGTTCTTCTAATTATTGGAACCAAACTCAAACCCGAACCGTCGGTTCCGGTTTCGATTCGATTATATCCATAACATATTTTTTTTATATACATTTAATAAACTTTTTCATATAGATCATTTGAATAGATATAACTAACACGAGACTACTCGGCAACATTTGTGCAATGGAGAAAATTTAGCTAAGAAATCTTCAAGAATCAAAATAATGGAGGCTAAAAACCATGAAAATAAGAGGAAATTAAAACATCATAAATAAAATTACAATTTGAGAAGAATTTATCTTTTCCTCGTAAATCTTATTCGACCCACAAGTGAGACATGCTCAAGTTTATAATTTAATTATGAACAATACTTAAATTCTTATACTCTTAAAATGAACTGAAATAAAAAAAATTTAGTTAGATACATAACTATAAAGTATCAAGAAATTGCAGTACATTTATTGAGCTCGCTCCATTTGAATAAAAAAGAAAAAATTATATTTTAAAAGAGAACCACGAACTTAAGATAATAAAAAAGGTACTCCACAGCCCCAAGTTATGAATATATCATGTTCAATTGTCAATCACTACAAAAAAAAAAAAAAAAANTAGCTTAAATTTTTAGATTCATAGAAAGTCCAAATTACAAAAATTAATATTAACTAACCTTTGAAATGCAACAATATGATGTGAGGCTATAGACAAAAAGGTAGGAGCCATTCTTGATTTATTAGGATTGGAGTCTAGAGTTTAAACAAATTACTACCAAAATTAAGATCAATCTTGCTGCATGTACATCAAGTTTGACACTATTATGAGGTAACAATTTTTTATAAATTGATTTGACAATCATACTACATATACATTTTTTTACATCATTTTTTACATTTGAAAGTTTTGAAAACAAACACTTTCCCATCCATACTTTTTGAACTCCAATTGAGTGTACACAAAAATGTCAACCAAATGATATACACCTAACATTATTCTTGATTTTAAAAATATTTTAAACAACTAATGGTTCAAATTTTGACACATGATGGAGTGTCAAACGTGTATGGATTAACATTTAACAATGTTACTGGACTACTAAACGGTAATACAGTAATAGAGTAAATGAGTATTATTTGATCTCTCTCTGAAGATTTGAGATTAAATCTTCTGCAGTGATCTTTATTTTAGGTCTGGAAATGGGTGTATGCATTTGAAAGGGGAAAATGAGGTTAATGATGATCATTGTAGGATTTTGAGCAAGGGTAAATTGAAGAATTACATGGAATTGTTGAGAAGAGTGAAGGTAGTGTTTGATACCAGAGATGTTGAAGAAAGATTGATGGCTTTGATTTTGTTTGGTTGCTGGGCGGATTTTACAAAAGATGTTGTTGATATACGGTACATTGTGCTATCAAGTTTGGTTTCTGGTGATACTGATGAAGTAAGATTTGAAGTATAATCTGTTTGAAATTGTAAACTTTGAGGTGATTTTAGATTTTGATCCATGCATTCAGATTTTTGACAAATGTTATATTTATGTAAGAATCCATTAGTAGGTGGTTAGGTGTAATTAAGCAAAAATTGAAGTTTATTTTATTATTGTGATTTATCTTCTATATATTAAAAGTAGCCATGTAACGGAATTTCTTGTTTTTAACGAAAAAACTAACAGAATTTGTTGTTTTAATGGACAATATAACAGAATTTCTTATTTTAAACATGCAGCTGCACCTTCTTTCAATGTTTTTATCATAACTTTGTATTCCGATATCCGATTGAGGAATTCAAAATGCGTTGGAAAGCTAACTCATCTGACCAACTTTGATTGAGACATCATTCTCCAATTCGATCAATTTCTATGCCAAAAATAGGTCTCAATATGAGAATAAAATATCGGAGCATAATTTTCGGTTGAAAATTGATTTGTGATCATCTTTTGCCTAAATTTGATTCCATTGACGTCTTCCTTTATCCAATTGACTCCGAGCACTCTCAATCTTCATCGTGGGGTTCGACACAACTTTTAAGGATTTACATTTTAATCCCCGAACTTTGGATCCCTTACAATTTAGTCATTTCTCCAAATTTGTCAACTTTTGCTTATTTTCTTCGATCTCACCAGCTTACATCACAATATCAAAATCACACATCTAATTATTTATCAATTACATAAACATTACATCATTAATTATTTAATTAACCAAAAAAATTACATCTTTATTAATAACAAATTAATTCTTAAACAAAACTA